CCTCAACTCGGAGAGGCCAGGTTTCACAAGCATAGAGCAAAACTGCTCTCACCGACGCGTTGTAGATCCGACCTTTTACAGCCAGACTAACATCACGAAGGCGCCAAAGATGGCCCAGATTGGCATAAGCCGCTCTGGCTTTCATTAAACGTGCATCAATCTCATCACTCACGCCACCACCAGCACTTATATAGCTACCTAGATACACGAACTTCTCAACTACTTCGATCTCCTCACCATCCAGGGTGAGTACAGGATGAGAATCCTGCCAGTCTTGTAGAAGTACTTTGCACTTGGAGGGTGCAAAGCACATGCCGTACCTGCGGACACTGATTGCCAACTGATTAAGTGCTGATTGCATGCCTTGGGCATTATCGCACAGTAAGACAATATCATCCGCATACTCGAGGTCGAGAAGTCGTTCTCCAGGCAACATATCCACACCGCCATTACTTACATCCATCAGAGCTGTTTCTAGGATGTCGTCGATGGCAAAGTTGAAGAGGAATGGGGAGATCGGGCAACCCTGCCTAACCCCACTGCTCGAATGAAACAAGGGAGAAAGGTGGTTGTATGCCCTCACTCTGCCTGAGGCGTTCGTATACAGGGCTTTTAAGATGTTAATGAACTTCTCAGGGACACCCTTCTTCAATAGACAATCCCAGAGAACAGTCCTGTCCAACGAATCGAAGGCAGCCCTGATATCAAGAAACACTACGATTGTTGGCCTGCGATAAGTATGACGGTGTTCTAACATTTGGCGGAGGGTGAAGATGTGATCAATGCATCCTCGACCAGAACGAAAACCAGCCTGCTCCTCGCGAGTCAATCGTTCTCGGGTTTTAAACAACCTACGAAGAATGATAGAAGCCAATAGTTTGGACGCGATCGAAAGTAGACTTATCCCCGATAGTTGCTACAGGAACAACGTGAACCCTTTTTAAAGATAGGGACGACTATTGACTCATTCCAAAATGTTGGAACACTTTCTTGCTCCCAAACCTTTCCAAACAACGCAGTCAGTTCCTTAGCCAGAAAGTCACCACCATCTTTAAAAAGAGCCGGAGGTAAGTCATCTGGGCCAGGTGATTTATAACGTTTCAAGAGTTGGAGTTCCTTGCGGACTTCCGCCTCGTTTGGTGGATCAGTCGTCACCGGCCATGGGGAGCAGGACAAGCTGGTTGATGTTGCCGGAGCAGCAGGCCAGTTGAACTGCCCTTCGAAAAATTCCGCCCATCGTCCAAGACGTCGACAGATGTTAGTGATTGGCATCCCGTCATCCTCGTAGATTGTTTCACTCACACCAGACTTCTTGCTGCCAGTGGCTCGGATGAGTTGGAAGAGCTTCCGGCAGTTACCAGATGCAGCTGCTGCTTCCATCTCATTAGCACGCTCCGACCACCAGGCTTCCCGGTCCTTACACAAGCTTTGCCCGATTTCATTACGTAACAGCCTTCGTTTGTGGTCAAACTCACGGTCACCCGGAGTAGACCGACGGGCTTCCATCAGTTGTAAGGAGCCAGAAGAAACCCAGTGCTTGTAAGCGGGACGTTTCGCGAAGCCGCAAGCGGCTTTACTCGCCATTTTCATGGCGTCATGAAGATGCAACCAATGCTTACCTATACTTTTCGGTGGGGTGGTAGCTAGCCTAGAGGCTAGCTCCGCTCGATACTTACTTGCAACAGAAGTTGCAGCCAGTTTACTAATATCAATCCGTTGGTGGTGGTCAATCCTTCGGCCACTGAAAAGTAAGGTGAGATTGGCGCAGACCAGGGCATGATCAGACTCCAGATAGGTACTCCAAAAGGAGCGGCAGTCTTGTACACAACCACGCCAGCGGTAGCTGATCGCGATGTGATCAATCTGAGTCCAGGCTTGGGATGCAGAGGGAGGACGCCAGGTGGCACACCGGCGATGACTGTGCCGGAAGTTAGTGCTGGCCAGAAACAGGTTGTGGTCTGTGCACAGTTGCAGCAAACGGTCCCCGTTATCTGTCCTGCGACCAACAAGTCCCCATCGGCCACCTAAACGACTCTCTTCTGTGCCTAGACGCCCGACCTGTGCATTCAAGTCTCCGGCTAGTACTACAATATCTGTCGAACGCGCTTTCTGGAGAAGAACTGTTAACTGATGGTAAAACTCATCCTTGATTGCATCCGGGCTGCAATCTGTCGGGGCATAGGCGGAGATGACGAAAAGACACCGTTTCCCACGCCGATTTCTTCTCACTTTGATGGAACTTTCTAATCTAACAGCACATAACCGACTGTTAATGGGGATCCAATCGATTAGTGCTGCCTCAGCTCTAGCGCTTAGTGCGACACCAACGCCAGCAAGACCAGACGAAGATGCCACAGGGTCCCCGGATAAGCGCACGTGGAACAAGCTTTTCGAGGCGACAGATGGAGAGCGGATTTGTAGTACTTCACTAGAGTCTTGAATACGGGTCTCGGATAGACAACAAACGTCAACATTAAGACCTTCCAAAGACATAGCCAGCCCTATCTGTTGTCTGATCTGCATTAGTGTGCGAACGTTGAAGGAAGCCAGCTTGAACGGCGTACGTGGTTTCAGAAAGACTGCCTCAGTATTCATAATCGGTGGAAGCATTCACTTTCAACCAGACAGTGACTGGAGATCGTTTAGATAGGACAGATTTTCCACCAAGAGCGAGCTGCTGCATAAGTTGAAGAGTAAGGTTACACAAATTGGGGATAAAAGGGGGTGAATTAGCGATATGGTAAGTAATAATAATAATTATTATAATTATAATAATAATAATAATAAAGGTAATAATAATAATAATGTTAATTGTTTTGCTTTTAGTATGACCAGGGATATCGTCAATAAAGTTCATAATTTCATTCATTTGTTTGTGTGTGGGCTGTGATACTGCCCGGGTGCCCAAACCGAAGCAGGTGGTTTTCTTAGGGGACCACACCCCGAGCCTTTGAACTAAAGGTCTGATCCACAAGGCAGTGGAGCATCGTGAGGAGATGCAGTCCCATGGTTGCCGTTGACCAACAGCAGGTTCTTCCGCCATTCGTTCCATCAGGATACTGGAGCCCATGTGCACCATTGGTTTGGAATCAGGGTTTTCCAACTCCCCTAGGTGGACCCTCCGTGTCCACCAATCCGGTTATAGCGCCGAACATTCGCTTTTCGTCCTCTCACTTTCGTAAACAACACCCCCGCCACGAGAAGGCAGTGAGTAGGACTTCCCTGGCAGAGGCTATATATTCGCTGGCCATGTGAGAGCATTTCGAGAGAGAGAGAGTAGACTCTCCCCACTCTCGGCCGTACCAGGGCATTTGGGGGCCAATTATAAAAAAACAATTATATATATATATATATATATATATATATATATATATATATATATATATATCAGCAATAGAAATCGAGAACGACCGCACACATACAACAGTTGTTCGTCCACCGAGTACAACTTCTATATATCCGACTTCGAGCCATACTCCTTGTTGTATTGAAGAAAAATGTGGTGTTATCCGATTGCCTAAACCACAGTAGATGGAACAGAGTTCGAAACAGAGAATACCTAATGATTCCATGCCAATTAAGTCAACTATTAGATTACAATTCTATTCATAAAAATAGACAATCTAACTATACAACGTAAGTGTCACACAATAACAACAAAACCAGCAGCAGTTATCATTGACATGTATGAGGGCTGTGATACTGTCCGGGTGCCCAAACCGAAGCAGATGGTTTTCCTAGGGAGCCACACCCGGAGCCTTTGACCCAAAGGTTTGATCCATTAGGCAATGGATAAAGGTAAGGAGATGAAGTCCCATTGTAGCCGGTGACCAACAGTAGGTTCATATGCCTTTTGTTCCCTCAAGATCATGAAGCCCATGTTAACTATTGGTTTAGAATCTGGATTTTCCAACTCCCCTAAGTGGAACCTCCATATCCACTAACCCGGTTAAAGCTCCGGATATTCGCTTTTCATCCTCTTTACCACGTAAACAACGCCGCTAGAAGATTGTGAGTAGGACTTCCCTGGCAGTGACTGTATACGCGTAGCCATGTGAAAGCATGTCGAGAAAGAGGACTATCTCCACCCTCGGTCGTACGAGGGTATTTGGGAGCACAACAGTATGTGGTCACAGGATGAATTTACAGATGCTGGATGACTTTTATTCTACCACTACCATAAGCAAAGTACTGGTCGTATTTAATCTTATATTGTTAAGTAGGTGGTGGTTGGCAACTTATATTCCATGAGAGGTAACGGTAAGTAAGTGATGCTGAAACCAAGCTTTCTTTTCCCATATACAGCCATATTATCCAATACTGTACGTTGGGCGTAAGTAATGGTTAGAAGTGAGTACCATATGCCCCAATCACTTCAATTAATAAGGGTTTACGGTCCTATAAACAGACATGCTTTTTTATCTAATCCCCTAAATCTAATCGGTTAACTACAAGTAAATAATTCAGTTTTTTCGTTTTATAACTACCTTGGTTATTTACTTTCAATCGGCTGAGTGTTGTTATCAAAGAAGTATTATCACGAACTGTCGTTCATCATAATTATCATAATAGAAACAAGTAAGTACTTATTCTATAGTTCTAATCAATTAGAATAGTCGCAAGCAAGGAACTGTTGACTTATCCATTGACTGTGCACACCCTTAGTAGAAAGAAAGAGATAGCTTATATACTTGTCCGAATTATTTGTAAGAATTGAAATAACAACATTATGTGTTTGTATATTAAGATTATAATTAGAAAATCAGTCAGTCATCAAAAAACAATGTAAACCAAGCAGCGGTACGTAATGGTTTGAACTGTTAGATTTCCTAAGACAAGTGAAGTGATTAGCAAGCCAAACTACTTTATTTTCTACAGTCATACTAAAGCAATGACACAATAGAATATCATTGAAAACTTTGTTTGATGAAAACCAACCATTTTAACAAAACAGACAAGCAATCACAATTCTTTTTACGGAAATTATACTTATCACTTACTATAGTATACGAGGCAGATTTATCTGGACAATTTTGATGCTTTGGGATGCAACATGATGATGGGACAGTTAATCCTGGATAATCATTCATTCCATTGATGCCACAACAATGAAGCTGTAGAAGCAAAAGAATATAATAAATGGAAAAACATCAATGAAAACAACTGCGATTGTCTTCTTTTCTAATAAAATGACAAATGAATTGAGTTTTATAATCATCTTTATAAGTGAATAACCATTTAGTATAGAACAATGTCATGTTTGTCCAGGGAATTTTTTAATGTTGATTAAACTATATCAATTAATTTGGAATTTGGCCACTAAGTGGCTCAACATTGTAGGCATTATCTTGAGTTTTTAAGAGTTTGCATGTAGTCAGCGATAAATCCTGCACTTAAGTTTTGTTCCAGTTAGCACTCCATAATAAGGTGTGTTTGTAATCTTCAGAGAACTGATGCTTCCTGTGGGTTTCGAACCCGCGTCACCAGATCTACGAACAATTATGTGATAGTATTTATTACGCAATGCCTAAAATATCGAAAAAATTATGAACCTGACCTGGCTCAACTTTAATTTATTATGAATTTGATTTCAAATTCTGCGAGTTCATCATTCATCTGAACTTTTTAGTATAATATTCAAGTAGAGAGCTAAGAATGGAAGTTTAAACAGTTTCCTTTACGATCCAAGAAATACAAATTTTTTGAGTGGTTTGTGCAGTCTTACAAGCGTTAGCTAGTAAGCCAGTAGAAAATGCCGCCAGTTTTGTTACACAGTTGTAATGTAAGGCAGGAAAACATTTATTTTGCCGTATAAACAGTGGCATAGTATTAGTTTAGTGATCAAAATACTCGACTTTCAACTGGTGCGTTACAAGCCCGAAACTCGCCTCACTTTATTTGCTCCATATAGTCCAGAAGTATTATCAACCCCCACACTTGCGAATATAGCCAAAGTCGATTACATGACACGTTACTTGGTTTTTGAGTAGTACTGATAAAATCACGATTCAACTGTGCTTCAAAACCAGAACAAAACTTTCTATAACATAAAAAAATGTTTGTTTTGTATTTTTCAGTTTATAGTACATCTTGATTTTACCGTTCAGTTTCAAAACACAACCTTCTGATGAATTGATATTGCCCTGAATTAATCCTATGAGATTGTTGTCAAAAATTAGATTGGAGAAAAATAATATTATAGGCAAAATTTCAGTGATCACATCCATTATAAAAGGACATCAGAGAATTTAAACATTGGGGTATTTACATCGAAAGTACATTGTATAGTCGTTTTTACTTCCTTCATCATAGTTTAAAATTTAATTTGACAGCAGATAACAACAAAATATATAATAAATTTCAGTCTTTTAGGTTAACAAACAATGGTGAATATGAGTAAAACGTACACTTTGTTGTATCCAATCACGGTAGGAATCACTTCTGTCGAAGTTTTCATCAACTGATTCATTTTTAAATCGCATGATAATATTTTCTAAAGCTTGAATAATCCTTCTTTCCGTCTAATATAGGTTAAGTAGTTATAATTTACTTACTTCAACTTTAAATACTAAACACAAAGCTGCTATGGCTATTTCAACTCCGAACATAATGGTTAAACAAATAGAGTATGTTCCAAGTAGGCAACGAGATTCATGATAAGCTCCACAACATCCAAAAACAGCCACAACAATTGTTAACAATCCTAGACCGATAAGAGCATATAATAAGTTTTGCATTTTATCAGCATGTCCAGAACGAGATACTGCACTTTGAATTAATGAATCCACATAACAATATATGGCAAAACATAGTATTGCGGCACCAATTAACTATTAATAATGAGAATATATTGATAAATAGGAAAATAATTAATCCACGTACAATGGATAAAACTTATGCGACGACTGATTTTGACAAATTAAACAGATTGGTCTATTAATTAATAGCTTTGGTCCCCCAAATGACTGAAATAACCGTGAGTTTTAAATATTATATTAGCTTGTTAACCGTCATGAAACTTGAAAATAACATATGGAAGAATTAACAAATCTAAACTAAAGCACTTTGATTTCAAAGTAAAATGGAGGGTCATAACACAAATCTCTAATGTCTATAATAAAGTTTATCTTAGATAACCAAAGACGGCACGAATATATACTGGCTCAAGTCATTACATTAAATTGGGACAGAAAAAGAAGAGAAGCACAAGAAAAACGATCATACTAATTTGATTAAAAAGTTGAATGAAAGGATATGATCGAAGAATCAGATGGAAGAATATGTCCAGCTCATACACTTTTACAAACGACTGAGTTCAGTAGCCAATGACTTTATAGTTTGATTGTGACATCCCTTCTAGTATTTAATTATCCTATCAAACTTGGTCACCGGCTAACATGGGACTGCATCTCCTCACGATGCTCCACTGCCTTGTGGATCAGACCTTGAGGTCAAAGGCTTCGGGTGTGGCCTCCTAAGAAAACCACCTACTTCAGTTTAGGCACCTGGGCAGTATAACAGCCCTCACACAAATCAAATGAGATTTGTGTGGCGCATATGTATCTGGTGCCTCTCCGTACCAATATTTATGTGTCCAAATAATAAATAATAATAACAAACTTAGTGGGCAATGAGCCAGGTTACTTTTTTGCAAGAAACGCTTATTTCATTTTCCTTATAAGCCGACCGTTGCTGCTACCTTGACGTGGTGGTCGGGCTGGCCTATCGTGATGAACCAATCGAGCTATGCCGGCTGGAACAATCGTTCCTCAAGGTCCTACCATGCCAGACAGGTCGGTTGAAGAGCGGTAAAACTAAAAGCAGCAATCCCAAGGTCCGAAGGCGAAGTCGTACTGCTGACTTTACAGAGGTGTGACGGCAGTAAGGTGTTTCCTTCAGACAACCAGCATGACAGCGATGCTGCCTTCCCACAAGGAGGGGTGGGGTTAGAAAAGGTCAACCCTAAAAATGCACACCTCGCCTTATCCCACGGATTTCCGTCTCCGGCGGTAAGGACTTTTGAAGAACGGAGCTAACACGTCAAAAATCCCCCACAAAAAGGCCGTGCGTGACCGGCCTGAAGCAGTTGTCCCTTGGGCACTGCGGTCACGCTCCCAGGTCGTTAAGACCAACACTAATCCGACTTCTTTTTCAGGTCCCTCAAGAAATACTCTTCCACGGTGTGGGCAGCCGGAAAGTGATACTAGCCCTCATACCCGTAACAGCACACAAGACCAAGTTGGTCGGTTTCAAATCCTTCCTACACCTAATAACTCTGTTATCTCCTCGACTAACCCTTCCCACGTCCTTTTATCACGTCGCACCGCTAGGGCAAACGATTCAAGTACACAGAACGTTATTCCTGGTCTCCTGAAACCACGCTCTAAACTACATATAGGAACTTTTAATGTCCGAACATTGTGCCAAATAGGACAACAGGCTTCCTTAGCTAGGACTCTAGAATCTTACACCATCGATGTGTGCTGCGTCTCCGAAACGCGCATACAAGATCCGAGTAGTGTCATTCATTTGACCGCACCTGATCAAAATAAAGAACCATCTCGATACACGCTTCATGTATCTGGAAGCCCTGATGCTGCTTCCCGTGGCCTCGCTGGAGTAGGTATAGCATTAAGTCCTAGGGCAGAACTGGCTCTTTTAGACTGGATCCCAGTAGACAGTCGTCTATGCGCTGTCCGACTAAACGGATCAGTAAGGACCCGGAAAGATAGGGAAACTCGTCGTTGCCTCTTCGTCGTCTCTGCCTACTCTCCCACTGACTGCAGCTCAGACGATATAAAAGATGAGTTCTACAGGAAACCTTCTGACCTTCTCCGAGAAGCTAGGCGTTCTGATGTAGTAATAGTGGCTGGTGACTTTAATGCTCAAGTAGGTAAACTAAGTGAAAGGGAAAGACACCTGGGTGGATCTTATGGTGTCGTGTCTAAAAGAACAGATAATGGCGACCGTCTGTTGCAGCTATGCTCAGATAACCGCCTATTTCTTGCAAATACTAACTTTAAACATAAGGAAAAACATCTTTTGACATGGCGTCCCCCGAATTCGTCCCAACGTTGAACCCAATTAGATCACATCGCTATCAGCCACCGATGGAGGGGCTCGATAGAAGACTGTCGCTCATTCTGGGGCACATGCTTAGATTCAGATCATGCTCTAGTGCGAGCACGTATCTGTCTGCGACTTACTGGACGTAGGAAAGACACAGCAGGGAAGCCTCTAAGGGTTCTACTTAATGATAGGCAAGCTAAGAATATATTTCAGGAACAACTAGAAAAACAGTTAGGCAGGCATGTAAGTTGTGTCCACCCCGAAGCAGTGTGGAATGACATCCGAAAAGCTGTGGAAACAGCAGTGATATCCGCTAGTAAGGTAAGCCATAAGGTCAGGGAGAAACAATGGATCTCGGTAGCATATACCACACTGATAGATGCTCGTAAACTCATCCCACCTGGCTTTGAACATAACGAAGAGCGGAGTCAACTTAAGCGAAGGCTTATAAGAAGTCTACGTAGTGATCGTGAACAGTGGTGGGTAGCGAAAGCAAGAGAGATGGAAAAGGCAGCGGCAATAGGTAACAGTAGGCAGCTATTCAGACTCGTTAAAGAAACTGGTATTAGGAACCCGAATATCAGTGAAACCATCTCAGATAAAGATGGGCATATTATTCATTCTCAATCCAGGAGATTGGATCGATGGGCAGAACACTTTAGGGATCAGTTCAACTGGCCTTCAGCCACACTTCAATTACCCACGATCCCCAGTCGTCCTGAATGGCAAATTGAGGTAAGTCCTCCAACTCTCTACGAGGTTGAAAAAGCTATAGGAAATCTAAAGCGAGGGAGAGCCGCAGGCCCTGACAGGTTTACCCCTGAGATTTTTAAGGATGGTGGTCCAGTACTAGCAGTGAGATTGACTGAGGTCTTAGGTAGAATCTGGGAACTGGACGTAATTCCATCTGACTGGTCCCAATCACTGATTGTGCCAGTCTATAAGAAAGGACAAAAGTCCTCCTGTGACAATCACAGAGGGATCAGTTTGACTAATATAGTGTCTAAAATATTAGCTTCAATAATACTAGGTCGCCTAACCAAAGCTCGTGACGAGCAGACTAGAGAAAACCAGTCTGGTTTTCGACCTGGACGTGGTTGCATAGACCAGATATTCACCCTACGTCAGGTTCTAGAACATAGACACAAATTCAGACGTCCCACAATAGTAGTATTTCTTGACCTTAAGGCGGCATCTGACTCCGTTAATCGTGAGGTTCTATGGCAGTGTTTGTCAGTGAAAGGAGTACCAAAGAAGTACATTAACCTCATAAAGGCTCTCTACTCGAACACAACTGGTCGAGTTAGAGCCTATGGCGAACTGTCATCAGAAATGGTTACCTCAAGTGGTGTTCTTCAAGGCTGTCCACTCTCCCCATTCTTGTTTAACTTTGTCGTTGACATGCTTTTAGAGATATCACTTTCATCATCTCAATCTCCTGGAGTTTAACTTTCACCGAAAGGCTCACTTGTTGACTTAGGATACGCCGACGACATAGTTTTATTCGGTGAAGACGCTGACAAAATGTAGAAAATAATAAAATAATAAATGGGATTTGAATCGACAACTTCATCTCTGTGCTAATGTGGCATGGCAACTCGAACTGATGTACGTACGTACGAAGTTCTACGTTGTAACTGACTGACTGACTGATTTTCCTTATTTAGGTGTATGTTTAATTAAACATTAGCTACACCGAAAAATAGATGATTTAGTTAGTCAGTAAGGATGGCTTTTTTATCTTGCTTGGTCTCTATACCCTTATAACGGAAATCAGTTGAGATAATATAACATTGATCGGATGTATACTTCTCTTTTCGTGTACAAGCGTATATCACTGAAGTCAAATAAAATAAGTATATATTTTGAGTCAAACGAAATAACTAAGTGTGAAATTTCGAGCAATGTAGAAAATTTGGAATTAAAAACAAGTAAAAAAATTTATGGAACGATTTTTAAGACCCTGTAAGCTCAGCTCAAAATTATAGACATGATATCAATGATTCTTCTTCACTATGCTAGGAATAGTTAAACGCATTTAATCACATTAGACACAGACACATTTTTGAAAAAAATTTGAGATTATTTATTTACTTAAATACTTATGACAATAACTTTTTGCCAAAGACTAATTACAAATCGGTTTTCTGTTTTATATCGTCAATTTGTAGACTTTTTGGTCAAACAATGACTCGTTGCCCGAGGGAACTGAAACGAGATGAGATAGGAAAATCAGTGTCACAACACTCAACAGGAACCGTGCTGATTCACACAGAAACAGAGAATGGCTCTCGCTTCCGATCAATTGCAGATGCTACTTCAACGACAACAGCGGCGTTTTAGAAAGAATCAGTTGGAATTTATAGGCAAATTACGCACACGGTTGCTGAATCATCCATGCTTTGGAGATGTGATGAAGGTTAATGAATTAGCACCGAGTTTGAAAGTGACTGCAGAATGAATGAATGTGTCAGTAAAAGCCTCCATGAATCCTTGATAGACAGTAGTATAAACGAAACAGTAGCAGTTACACATGATCCGCCTAGTGGTTCAAGAATGTCCATTTCAGAAACACGTTCCGTAGTGGATCCATATCCCATTATCTCCGAAACACAATGTAGAGACAATGACTCGTCCAGCTCTCAGAAAGACGATATCTTGCTAAATGCTTATGAAATTGTTGCAGTACCCGCCAATGAAGAAACAAAAAATAAATCGAGAAGCATAATGAACATAGTTGCACCAAATGGAACTCATCATTCTGCGAAGAAAATTTTATGATGAATCTACTTATCGGGGTTCTCGAGTTGTTTTATCAAATATGGGTTATCTTCATGACTCATGTTTTTGAAATTTCTTATAAAAATGAGAAAATAATGTCAGATGCATCAAACGATAATCAAGAACGTGGTGAAATTTCGATATATACTGGTTTTCTTAATGGTCCATTATCTACTAATGAGATTATTAATAAATTTAGTGAAAATGTTTTAGAAGAGTCAGACCCTGATGATCTCAAATCAAATGTCGTTCATTCTCACGATCTAGTCAGTTCTAGTGGATTCTCTGCCCAATGCGACAAATATGTTTTGAATAAAGTCACATCAATTGTGACTTGTGGATATGAGGATCCAACATTATTTCGTGGGGGAGGATAAATTCAGAAAATTCAAAGTCTGGATATCAACTCCGAATCTTCAAAAAAAGGGAAGTGTTATTTCCCGATGAGAATTATGAATGGTAACTGTTGAGAACTGTTTATGAACCAATACGGTACATATATTCCTATTGTTTAATTATTAATTAGCTAAATTATGCACATTCATGTTCCTCTTACTATAAGCTTTATTTTGACCCATGGACTGTTATTATACGATTCACTGTTGTTGAGTTATGCCCAATCTATCAATTACTGTCTCCCACATTCACAGCCACTTTTGGCTAGATCTTGTATAAATGTTATTTTCTGCTTTATGGTACGATGTGGTGTGTTTGGTTTGTGTATGAATGCAGTACATTTGAAATACATGATTCACATTGCAAAGGCTGGGATTGGTATTCTGGACTTAACAGGTTGAGCTAGGCGGGAATAAGGACCGATAGAGACTCTAGACTGCTTGTACGGGTTTATGCGTCATCGGTTCGGTCGATAATTCACTGTTCTCTAATTGGCGGTATCACTACGTTATATATTGGTAGGGACACAAGTTATAACACTCAGTTTGTATTCATACCTTATAGATTTCACTGACTAGATTCTGTGCTTGACTAATAGGTATACTACCTAGGTGTTAGTATGGATAAGATTTAAAATGAGTAAGCAACCCCATATTTTCAGAGTGCATTGAGAAGCAGTTCGCTACTTCGAAAATAACTGAAAGAATAAGAGCACCAAACAACTCACATAATTTTGATGGGGTTTTGTTCTCTGAGCTGGACAGTTTGGTTGTGGAGCTTTCATCGTTCTTCTGAACGACATCATCAGCACAAACTTCGGGTAGCTCCCATAAAACTTGTTCGTAACTTAACTCATATGTAAATCTTTTTATTAGGGCATAATACGACCTCCAAGACATTTCACACAAGAGTATAATGTTAGAGAAAACGAAAATAAAGTGGTAGGAATCATGAGTCACAATATAGTGACTTTTTTCAGTCCGTTGAAACTACTGATGGAGTCGTCAGTTAAGTATTCGTTTTCTGCTAATTAGATATAATAAACTATTGTTTGTACCGAAGTGCAATGAGATTGACTTCAAGACTTACAGGAGTGCAACTCATATCCAAAAAATTGCATCAGATAAATCATACTGATCAAACAGAAAACAAGAAGTCGGTGAAATGACTGACACAGTTCTCAGCTTTGACTCACACCTCTCACTTCTCCGATAATACTGAAAGCTTTTTTTCGTAGCATACGGCGCCCTGAGGTTCGCTGTACATATTTTGCCTTCGAGTGTTACATTACCACTAATATATACACTACAAGCACTGTTCGGATATCTCCAACGGTTAATGTAAGAATGAATAAATGCTCAAGCGATTGTGAACCATGTGAAAGTACTTTAATATCTTGGTAATATTAAGTGCGTAACATGTTAACGGAAGAAAACCACAACTGTTGACTAGTGGGCATTGTATGTAATTTATAGGCAATTATTGAGTAATCAATTAATTATTTTAATAGTTGAATCGTGGATGCGCACTGCTGAGGAGTCCTATACAGGGACGGAATAGCCGGCCAGTGCTCCCAGATTCTTAATGGTGGTTTAGCTTAGGATCGGTTTATGAATCCAACCATTAAAATTACAATCTTCACATATCTCCATTCTGGTAATAATTCTACCTAGAATCTTGAAAGAGTAAGCAATTAACTTTTATATGAAACTCGAGACAAGGTTTTTTATTTCTACCATATTTCTTTGAAGTGAAACGTATCGGAAAGTGTAAATTTAAGTAATCGGCCTCAAACTAAGCTTATATGTGATGGTTAGTAATGTCATCCAGGAACCCTAACCATAGCATTACGAAAGATTCCTGCATGACAAACTGCGTAATACAGTGACTGACACTATAGGCAAACACAAATCAGCTAAAATCGCTAATACAATCGACAACAATTCTCAAATATACTTAGTAATTTGCCACGGCACACTATAACCTCAGATGTTAATCATGGCTCGATACCCGTAAAACAAGTATTGACACCAAGATGCTCGGGCTGGTTTTCGTTAAAACTAAAGCTACTCTACGTTCTTAATAAATGCTAACTTTTAAAGCATATCTTATTTTCGTTTACTTAAAAATATTGTTCATAAAATTAACTTGTGAGTGGACATGATTCTCGAATCTAGACAATGGAACAATTACAGTTAGTTGTCACATCAACCTTATCGTTTGTCTAGAATGCTTTATAAACATGCAGATAAAAAAGGTTTATATAAATTCATTGTTGGTTGAGTGACCAATTACACTACACAGACAAAGATGTTCGAGCTTAAAGAACAATAAAAACTTTTTAACTTATGGATTCTGAATAAATGGTGGAAGATACATCATGACTTAGAACATTTATGCCTACCCAGAGAATGAAGAATACGTCTTCAGTTGCAATTTAATCAACTATAAACATGAACACAACAACACTAGGAAACTAATCTTATGATTCTTAAAAAGGAAGCACATAAAAAATCTGCTCAATATTCGTTTCGTGAATATGGCCTACGGATACTTACGAGAAATATTACATTAAACGTCATTAATGCAACGACGAGAAACGTAGTACATCCTCTACCCATCTTCCCGCCGCTAAAGGTCGTGGAAGCGAAACGTTATAGGTTATCTAATAGTTCAGAAAAAGTAAATAGCCTGACTGTGAATTAGAAAGTTAGGTACTTATGACGTCTAAGGTTATTTCGATTTATTTACTTATTGTCACATACCTCGGCCACATGTCATTCACAAGCAATAGTAATAAAACAGTTTTAGTTGTGGATTTCCATTTCGTTTCCAAGAGCGGAGTGTCAGCCCAAGTCAAACCTAATATCGTCAAATTAAATATGAAGGAAATTCCACACCTTTCGATCTCAGAAGATTGGACATCAGAACCAGAATCGTTCGATGAAAATGATTGGGAATTCGCAAATGTGAGGTACCACATTAAATGCAACTTGGACAAAACTACGCAAATCAGAAACTTTAAAACATGGTTCGATAAAAAAAAGTTCGCGTTTTTTACAGTAGGAGAAAGAGGGCATGAAAATAATTAAGGTTTCTGGGAACTGACAAGACCAGGTTTTGAAATGGGAAAGCCAAGAATACACATATCCAAGCTCTATGTTAGTCCTATAAGAAGTATGGAAGAAACTGTGAATTATTCTGTATAACCCATACATAAACAAGAGGTTAAGGGTGAGAAGCTTCTACAAATGGTTTATGTGAATGGTGTTGCAACAGAAAATAAATCCCCAAAATCAATAGCTCTGTAAGTGTTCGACATTGATTGATGACCACATTAGTTTTAATGGACTCATCTAGCTGAAGGCGCTCGGTCATGCATCCACACCAGATCACTAGTTCGAACAGCGTGCTCAGCGTCTCCTGCAATCACTAGACAGTTTAAATCAGTCACTCCTCCATATATTGATGATCTATCAAATATATCTTCCAACCTCCTCGCCTCTGGCTTTTAATTTCACTTCGTGGGCGCGATTAAATCATAGGAGGTGCTACTGGCAAAGTGTTGTCAAACTACAATACCTGTGGTATCTTCAGTTTGGCCTTACTAGTGAATGGGAATTGCCATAAGCCTTGATATTTTCTCATTCCTTAGCTGTTAAATTCAGGAGTGGAATCTTTCTCGTCAGTACAGATGAATTCTGCCTCATGTACTCTGGTTATTATGACTGCTAAAAAACCCTAGATCTTTTCTGGTGTCTCATTGATCTGATCCCAATTCAAGAGAACGGATGAATATGCCTTGAATATAAATCATTCGTCTAACTCTGTCAACACACCTAGGCCAACCCCGTTTTAGCTGCCTGAGTGCAAAGAAGCCGAACACGGATTGTGACAGAATGAAAGCGCTGAAAATCCGTTCACAGTAGTTTTTTGGGCAGTAATGCTGTTCATTGTGTTTCTTCTCTCTGACATAAATTTTAACCTTTATTCAAATCTCTTTTAACCATACTTTGTTTTTCTGTCTTCCCCATCTGAGCTTTAATTATATAACTTTGATTAAAGAAGTGACTTTTGTTACCTAATTTTTCTGTTGCGTGTAGCCGGAATATTGACAACGATGTCGTAATTGACAAAACCCAAGGACACGGCGTCGTTCTTTCTGGAACTGCTAACCTTTGACTGTTCCCTCGGAAGGATTAATGAGATCCCAGGGATTCTTGTACCTCCGACTTTCGTAATTCAACGTTGGCTTTCAGAATTCAAGCTTCAAACTCTGCTATAAAAAGTTGAGGAGGTCAGATTCAGATTTGTGTAATAAGGGCAGAAGGCATATAGCCTGTGTTATCCCTTTTCTTTTATGCGTATATGAGTGTTCACTCTTCTCTTGAATGAGCCAACTGAAGGTGCGGACTCAAATGCTTTGGCTAACAGGTTCCAAGAGTTGATGACTCGGTGTGAAAACTTATATGCCACGGGTATTTTATTCATTCTTGACTTTTCTACTCGCCTGCTATTTCTTCTGAGATACTTCACTCTAGTGTGAAGAAAAAGAAAGAGTACATTAGGTCTAAAATCTTTCTCTATACACTCTATGCACCAAAATCAGATCACCTCTTAATCTGAGATAGGACAGAGTAAAAAGGTCTAGCTTTTCAAGCCACTATTTGTATGGTAGACCCCGAAGCTCCGGAATTACACAAGTAGCTGCCCTCTGTACGTTTTCGAAGATATCCGAGTCACCTTTTAAACAGGACTTGCAGCCTGAACGCAGATATCAAGCTTAGTTCTCACTAAGGTTGCGTATACTATAGTGAAAATGATAGTATCTAACTTGTTGAATGTCCGTTTTAAATTTCAGAGGGTTCTAAACCCTTTAACTGTAACCTCCCGGCAATGAGCCGTGGTCCTAATATCATAACTCACTGTCACCCCGAGATCCATGTGAGGCTGAACCACGGGTGCGGACACTTTACCTATGCTATACCCGTTTACTTCTGTACCCGTAAAGTGCATGTAGACACATTTTGCCACGTTGATAGGCATCAGCCACTCTTTAGACCAGCTAATCACAATATTCAGGTCTGCCTGAAGTGAGCATGCATCTGCGTCTCCCGTTATTTTTCGCCAAATTTTTACATCGTAGGATATTATAACACTGGGGACTCAACTATATTTGGGAGATTATTTACATACAGTATAAAAAGCAAATGATACAGGGCAGAGCTTTGAAATACTCCGCTCAATACTGGTCTACTGGTGGAGCACTTCGAATTTATTCTTACTTTCTGTCTACGACTCACTAGGAAATCCTTAAGCCATTTTAAGAGAGGTTCGGCAATACCAAGATTTTCTAGCTACAATAACAGTCTATTTGTTGGCACCTTGTCAGATGTTTTGATGAAGTCTATGTAGATTACGGATATCCTAGTTTTACAACTAGCAACCAGTAGTATCTTCTATAATCGATCGTTCCCAGCCAGAGGAAATCAGAAGTCAGACGAGAAGAGGTAGGAAAGATATATTTGATACGTTACCAATATATCGAGAAGCGTTTGTTCTTAGCTAGCAAGTGAACGTAGGAACTGTACAACATAGCAATAAAGAAATAAAGTATAATGGAAATTTCGGTTCCTTGCGAAACTTCGTCGTTCTTTTCCAGCCGTCCTGGAAAAGAGGAAAAGTAAAACGTGTGAGTGCATGTCGAAAATACACTCGTACTTGCGTACGGACACAAGATGAGCGGAAAAAAAAATAAACTAATACACTTACAAACGAGATTCCTTGGAAACTGTTCAAGAAACTTATTCGAGACAAGACGTCTGCGACTACATAGTTTGCTTCAGAAATGTGTTGTATGTCTTAAGTAAACTGCGATTTGTAGTCCAGTTGTCCAGACTCTCGCGGTGAGTACTTGTCTGAAGATGAACTTAAAGAGAAGGTAAAAGGTTTATGGTCGGTAAAAAGTGTGAATTCTCTTCCTTCGATGGAATGTTGGAAATGCCGTACAGCACAATACATAGCTAGGAGTTCCCTACCGAACGTGCTGTACCTAGATTCTGCATCTAACAACCGTCTCGAGAAAAATCCCAAAGGTTGCCATGAGTTGTTAACCCATTGTTGTGAGACTCCTCCGATTGCTGAGTCGGGTGCGTCTACGGCGATACTGATGGGCGCTTGACTGTCCTGATGAGTAAGCAGGGTTGCCTTAGCGATGTGTTCCTTAACTGTGGAGAATGCTTTTTGAGCGGTGTCGTCTAGATTTGATTTTGCATTTCCACGAAGCTGATCGGTTAATGGTTTCATAAGAGATGCGCATTTAGGTATGAACCGTCTGTAGAAACTTACAAGTTCGTTAAAAGTTCGCAGCTGCTTGATCGTGGTCGGTTCTGGGTAATCCATAACGGCCGCCACTTTGCTTCTAAGGGGTCGGATGCCTTGGGCATCAATAGTGTGTCCTAAGAAGTCTAAGTAGTGGGATCCGATTTGGCATTTCTGAATGTTTACAGTAATGCCATGCCTTTGGAGTCGATCGAAAACAATGTCCAGATGCTTGAGATGTGACTCTCTGATTAAGGACATTACTGCTGAAACAGTGGCTCGCGCCTTCGTCGAACGATGGGTAGCGGATTTCGGCTGCCTTTCCACGATCACTACAGACCGCGGACACCAGTTCGAATCCGGACTTTTCCGTTGTCTGACCTCACTATTAAGAATCACTCGTCTCCGACCGACCGCCTACCACCCACAAGCAAACGGGTTGGTGGAACGCTTTCATCGACAACTTAAAGCTTCATTATCAGCTTCAAACGTTTCACAGTGGACAGACGCTCTTCCATTCGTTTCGCTAGGTATCCGCAATGCAGTGAAAGCTGACATTGGATACACTGCATCTTAACTCGTTTACGGAACGGCACTCCGACTCCCAGGAGAATTCGTGGATCCTTCAGCTTCTTCGTTGAACATGGATCTAAACTCTTGCACGAGTAGGCTTACAAACGCTATGTGTTCAGTCAAACCTGCTCACAGTCGACCTCAATCAACTGATGTTTTCGTTCAACCTGATTTGCGACATAGTACACACGTTTTCGGTCGTCGAGACTCACATCGACCACCCCTCGAATCAGCATACGAGGGACCCTTCAAAGTTCTTCAACGCGAACCTAAGTACTATGTAGTCGATAAGAACGGCACGAACGATAGCATCAGTATCGATCGCCTATAAGCAGCGTACTTGGAAGGAAACCCTAGCTACGTTGATTTTCCTTCGATACAAGCAAACGACACAGCTACTACACCTGTAGTACCCCACACGACAACCGACACACAACTTGATACTTCGTCAACGTCGATAGATAAACCTAAAACAAAGCGTTCTGGAAGAAGAGTAAGATTTCCAGAACACCTTAACGAATATTGCACGTAGGACATAAGCTTTATCTAGAATTCCCCTTTCATTGTTTATTAAAAAATGAGCAGATTGAAAAAAAGTTTTTTATAATAAACAATGAAAAGGGAATTCTAGATAAAGCTTATGTCCTACGTGCAATATTCGTTAAGGTGTTCTGGAAATCTTACTCTTCTTCCAGAACGCTTTGTTTTAGGTTTATCTATCGACGTTGACGAAGTATCAAGTTGTGTGTCGGTTGTCGTGTGGGGTACTACAGGTGTAGTAGCTGTGTCGTTTGCTTGTATCGAAGGAAAATCAACGTAGCTAGGGTTTCCTTCCAAGTACGCTGCTTATAGGCGATCGATACTGATGCTATCGTTCGTGCCGTTCTTATCGACTACATAGTACTTAGGTTCGCGTTGAAGAACTTTGAAGGGTCCCTCGTATGCTGATTCGAGGGGTGGTCGATGTGAGTCTCGACGACCGAAAACGTGTGTACTATGTCGCAAATCAGGTTGAACGAAAACATCAGTTGATTGAGGTCGACTGTGAGCAGGTTTGACTGAACACATAGCGTTTGTAAGCCTACTCGTGCAAGAGTTTAGATCCATGTTCAACGAAGAAGCTGAAGGATCCACGAATTCTCCTGGGAGTCGGAGTGCCGTTCCGTAAACGAGTTAAGATGCAGTGTATCCAATGTCAGCTTTCACTGCATTGCGGATACCTAGCGAAACGAATGGAAGAGCGTCTGTCCACTGTGAAACGTTTGAAGCTGATAATGAAGCTTTAAGTTGTCGATGAAAGCGTTCCACCAACCCGTTTGCTTGTGGGTGGTAGGCGGTCGGTCGGAGACGAGTGATTCTTAATAGTGAGGTCAGACAACGGAAAAGTCCGGATTCGAACTGGTGTCCGCGGTCTGTAGTGATCGTGGAAAGGCAGCCGAAATCCGCTACCCATCGTTCGACGAAGGCGCGAGCCACTGTTTCAGCAGTAATGTCCTTAATCAGAGAGTCACATCTCAAGCATCTGGACATTGTTTTCGATCGACTCCAAAGGCATGGCATTACTGTAAACATTCAGAAATGCCAAATCGGATCCCACTACTTAGACTTCTTAGGACACACTATTGATGCCCAAGGCATCCGACCCCTTAGAAGCAAAGTGGCGGCCGTTATGGATTACCCAGAACCGACCACGATCAAGCAGCTGCGAACTTTTAACGAACTTGTAAGTTTCTACAGACGGTTCATACCTAAATGCGCATCTCTTATGAAACCATTAACCGATCAGCTTCGTGGAAATGCAAAATCAAATCTAGACGACACCGCTCAAAAAGCATTCTCCACAGTTAAGGAACACATCGCTAAGGCAACCCTGCTTACTCATCAGGACAGTCAAGCGCCCATCAGTATCGCCGTAGACGCACCCGACTCAGCAATCGGAGGAGTCTCACAACAATGGGTTAACAACTCATGGCAACCTTTGGGATTTTTCTCGAGACGGTTGTTAGATGCAGAATCTAGGTACAGCACGTTCGGTAGGGAACTCCTAGCTATGTATTGTGCTGTACGGCATTTCCAACATTCCATCGAAGGAAGAGAATTCACACTTTTTACCGACCATAAACCTTTTACCTTCTCTTTAAGTTCATCTTCAGACAAGTACTCACCGCGAGAGTCTGGACAACTGGACTACAAATCGCAGTTTACTTAAGACATACAACACATTTCTGAAGCAAACTATGTAGTCGCAGACGTCTTGTCTCGAATAAGTTTCTTGAACAGTTTCCAAGGAATCTCGTTTGTAAGTGTATTAGTTTATTTTTTTTTCCGCTCATCTTGTGTCCGTACGCAAGTACGAGTGTATTTTCGACATGCACTCACACGTTTTACTTTTCCTCTTTTCCAGGACGGCTGGAAAAGAACGACGAAGTTTCGCAAGGAACCGAAATTTCCATTATACTTTATTTCTTTATTGCTATGTTGTACAGTTCCTACGTTCACTTGCTAGCTAAGAACAAACGCTTCTCGATATATTGGTAACGTATCAAATATATCTTTCCTACCTCTTCTCGTCTGACTTCTGATTTCCTCTGGCTGGGAACGATCGATTATAGAAGATACTACTGGTTGCTAGTTGTAAAACTAGGATATCCGTAATCTACATAGACTTCATCAAAACATCTGACAAGGTGCCAACAAATAGACTGTTATTGTAGCTAGAAAATCTTGGTATTGCCGAACCTCTCTTAAAATGGCTTAAGGATTTCCTAGTGAGTCGTAGACAGAAAGTAAGAATAAATTCGAAGTGCTCCACCAGTAGACCAGTATTGAGCGGAGTATTTCAAAGCTCTGCCCTGTATCATTTGCTTTTTATACTGTATGTAAATAATCTCCCAAATATAGTTGAGTCCCCAGTGTTATAATATCCTACGATGTAAAAATTTGGCGAAAAATAACGGGAGACGCAGATGCATGCTCACTTCAGGCAGACCTGAATATTGTGATTAGCTGGTCTAAAGAGTGGCTGATGCCTATCAACGTGGCAAAATGTGTCTACATGCACTTTACGGGTACAGAAGTAAACGGGTATAGCATAGGTAAAGTGTCCGCACCCGTGGTTCAGCCTCACATGGATCTCGGGGTGACAGTGAGTTATGATATTAGGACCACGGCCCATTGCCGGGAGGTTACAGTTAAAGGGTTTAGAACCCTCTGAAATTTAAAACGGACATTCAGCAAGTTAGATACTATCATTTTCACTATAGTATACGCAACCTTAGTGAGAACTAAGCTTGATATCTGCGTTCAGGCTGCAAGTCCTGTTTAAAAGGTGACTCGGATATCTTCGAAAACGTACAGAGGGCAGCTACTTGTGTAATTCCGGAGCTTCGGGGTCTACCATACAAATAGTGGCTTGAAAAGCTAGACCTTTTTACTCTGTCCTATCTCAGATTAAGAGGTGATCTGATTTTGGTGCATAGAGTGTATAGAGAAAGATTTTAGACCTAATGTACTCTTTCTTTTTCTTCACACTAGAGTGAAGTATCTCAGAAGAAATAGCAGGCGAGTAGAAAAGTCAAGAATGAATAAAATACCCGTGGCATATAAGTTTTCACACCGAGTCATCAACTCTTGGAACCTGTTAGCCAAAGCATTTGAGTCCGCACCTTCAGTTGGCTCATTCAAGAGAAGAGTGAACACTCATATACGCATAAAAGAAAAGGGATAACACAGGCTATATGCCTTCTGCCCTTATTACACAAATCTGAATCTGACCTCCTCAACTTTTTATAGCAGAGTTTGAAGCTTGAATTCTGAAAGCCAACGTTGAAATACGACTGTTGTATGTCCAAGGAATAAGCCATCGATTCGTTGCCTGGTGGTGAATAGTCCGCTTTGTTTTTCATAAAGTTTTCAGTTAAACCGGCAGTTTAAGAGCTTTGCAATGCTTCGGTCTGTACAGACTATAAGAATATCTGAATTTTGTATTTTAACGAGTGTTATGTGTTTGGATTATTTGCTTCTTATCAAATTTTAAATAATCACTGGACAAATAAGTGTCTATCAGTAGTATGAAAGAAACAGGCTGAAAAGAATGGTAATTTTTGTATTAATGTACGTACTTACACGTGACAATTTATTATTGTTGTGTAACGTAGGTATATAAGTTGCACGTGTAACTTATGTCAACGAATTATTGACTAATAAGTCTTAGCTTTGTTTAGTCTTCAGCTTGTAAGGTTTAGTATATAAAGGAGGCTCGTCAAACCTCTTCACGAAGCATGGTAGTTTCAGTAGGGAGGTAATAATACTAGATGAATAAGTGTTTTGTGAATATGAGCTCGAAATAAGCGATATCTTCATTTTGAAAACCATTCGTAGTTAGGACTGTATATGAAAATTAGTGAAAATTTACTGTGCTGTTTCGAGCAGTGCTACCACAATGTCGTATAACTAAGTGTTGCATTGTCATATCAGATGGATGTTTATTCAGATTAAAGTAAACATTCAAGTTCTCTTCATACAATAAGTTTTTACTGAATGAATTTGTCAGTGTACGTATGTTATTTGCTCAGATTTTGACGTTGATATTAAATAGTTAGACAATACAAATAGATAATCACACAAAAGTCTATCCAAAACGTTTGTAATCCATATTTACCAATGTTTAAGAGGTGATGTGGAATGCGAACATATAAATTTGTTCAAAGTGATAATCTGTTTGTTTACTCAATTTTCAAATACTTCAATTACATGCACATTCTTAAGCTCACTTTTCGTACCGTACGTCAAATTTGTATTTTATACGAAGTTAAGGATTATTCCACTTGAAATTTTCAGAACAAAATAGAAAAATCGTCCCTTAAAGGGGAAAGACTCATATTTCGTCGTTGTAATGTGTACATATGAATGGTAGACTCTTTAAAAAGTAAAATCGATGAAGTGGAACTCTTATTATCCATGTTTTCTGAAGATGAAATTAAGCTAGGAGACAAAGAAAGCTATTTAAATGTCAAACGTCATGCAGAACTGGATGTTCTTCCTGAAAAGACAGATGTGGATTTTGTAATCAAGGTAAGCCCTGAACTACTTAGTTCACGACCTCAACGAAAATTTCATTGTAAACTCACAAAATTCATATTTTATAATTGGTTATCAAAATCTTCGGAACACTTTTTTAACCGTAACTGAAGTTGTCATTGAGTTCCTTAATTATTATGGATTTATGACTTAGTGATACAAATATTCAAATGTTTTCATAGCTGGTTCTCAGATTTAAATTTCAGTACATCTGCTTTTGTCTAAAAATCGTTTAGCGTCATTTAATATTATACACAATAAATGTACCATACAAACGTGTTCTACAATATATATTATACTGTTTATTCGTTTTTGAGTCACAATATTCCCATAAATTTGTGATAGCGTATGATAATGTTACTCATATACCAAGTATAGACATGTGCACTCATTTAGGACGCCCTCTCTGAACCGGATTTTATACTAAATATGTGTGCGAATAAAAGTAAGTAGAGGGCACTCTGAACTTACGACCTACTGATCGGAAACCCAACATTTCAATCATTAACACACAGCTGGATTTATCAGTGTAACTGTGTATTTTTTTTTCTTATTACTTAGCAATACTTATTCTTTGGGCAACAGTTTCTATCCACCCGTAAAAAAATCACTGATTCTGTTTGACTGTTTGTACAACCTATTTAATGTTGTCCGATCTAGTAATAACGACTCCTGAGCTATTTTGGGAAATTCTGGTTGATCGTAACATATCTGTCTGGTATGTAAATTTGAGACCATATTCTCAATCACAGGCAAAATCGAAGAAAAAAATATACTCACTTCCCAACACTTGACTAAGTGTTAATTAACTGATATTCAAATGCCAGTAGGTGAGATTTTTCCACATTCACATGGTTATACCTTTCGTTAAGAAATAATTATAATGTGAGCTTGATAAATATTTGACTGGTCAATCTTTCATTAGGCTCCATGGCCCCAGTGTGTATAAATTTGTAATATTGATGATTCATAATATCCTGTTACTTTTGCATCTGATCATTGTTTTTGATTCTTCACTTTGCAACGTTTGTACTCATCTTGTAGATGACGTTACTACGTGCAATTAATATTACTGTAAAATTACCAACAAACATTCCTCGTATCATGTGCTTTGGTGTCAATAAATGTTTGTATTGTATTTGTGGCATTCTTTATCAAGTCTTCAAGACGTGACTTTCTCAACATATTTATTTTCCATGTCAATTTACTTTTATTGTGCCTGTAAAAACTTGGCTAATACGTATTTGTCTAAGATCATTCATTGTTTATAACTGTATCAGTCAACTTAAAAAAGGTAAATACTTTGGTGTAATCAACCTTTCAACTACAAGCATTAGTACAAAGCTTCCAACTATATGGTAGGAAGAAAATAAAAAGTAAACAAGATTATCCTCTTTTTACTGTTTAAGGATAAAATCAACGAGTTTTCAGACCTTTGTTTTCTATCTACTAAGCGAACTTATTTCAGTACATATGCTTCAGCCCCCAAATGCCCTGGTACGGCCGAGAGTGGGGAGAGTCCGCTCTCCCTCTCCAAATGCTCTCACATGGCCACGCGTATATAGGATCTGCCAGGGAAGTCCTACTCACTGCCTTCTCGTGGCACTACTGTTGTTTACGAAATTGAGAGGACGAAAAGCCAATGTACGGCGCTTTAACCAGGTTGGTGGACACGGAGAGTCCACCTAGGGGAGTTGGCGAACCCTGATTCCAAACCAGTGGTGCACATGGGCTCCAGTATCCTGAGGGAACAAATGGCCTACGAATCAACCGTTGATCACCGGCTAACATGGGACTACATTTCCTCACGATGCTCCACTGCCTTGTGGATCAGACATTCAGGTCAAAGGCTCGGGGTGTAGCCCCCTAAGAAAACCACCTGTTTCAGTTTGGGCACCTGGGCAGTATCACAGCCCTCACACAAATCAAATGAGATTTGTGTGGCGCATATGTATCTGGTGCTTCCTTGTACCAATATTTATGTGTTTAAATAAATAAATAAATAAAAAACATACACTTCATATTTAAAGTGTGTCCCCTCTATTTAAACTTGGATTGTGAATTAAAATTTCATAAAGAAGCAGTCCAGTTTAAAGTTCCTTTATTTTACTGAACCTAATAATTTAAATAAAATATTTGATTTATTCACTTATTTGTTCCACACTCTCATTTATATTAGCTTAAAAAGAAAGTAGAATTATCAGTTGTCCTACCCGATGGTTACCCTTCATGGAATGCACATCACCCTGTTAAGCCACTAATTACTCTACGTTTGTTATCCGATAACTCTTCAATTCTTGGCATAAATATACGTGCATTATCCTCACGTTTTTATCATTGGTTAGATAAAATTGCAAATACTGGTGAACCAATCTTAGTGGCGTGCATAGATTGGCTTCAGAATGAGTTATTTAATGAATTACCAATAACTAATGAAAGTGTAACATCTCTCTCAACCGGTTCAATTTTAAACAACAATGAGAAGACTGTTTGTTTATGGATTATTAGCCATCATATTCGAAGTCCAATAAAAAGACGTCTGATTTTAGAATGGTCAAAAGAATTAGAATTAACAGGCTGTTGTATGCCTGGACGACCAGGCTTAGTAATTGTAGAAGGCGAAGAAACCAAGGTTGGTTATTTACTATTTTCTTGTTGGATTATTTGTAAATATGTGTTAATAGATAAAATGGTTTGGGCTGCATATTTAGATCCTAAACAGATTGTTCGGATAAGGCCATTTTACAACCAGCTTTGAAATATACAGATTGCGGTTATCAGTAGAATTTAGGACAGACTTTTCACCCTATCCGGGATTCTTCGGCTTTGTGTGCCTGCATCAAGGGGTTATACATACTTTTATTAGTAATGTAAAACATCATACTTGTTAGACAAGTTCGTGGCTATTGGTACTTAGTAGCTAAATAAGTGACACTTCAACACTGGGATGCAGGTAAGCCTGACTAGCGAAATAAAACGAAATAGCCATCTTCAATTTCCTCTGTTAACCACAATCCATATATTTTAATATTAGTACTATATATATATATATATATATATATATATATATATATATATATATACATATATATATATATATATATATATATATATATATATATATATATATACGATTGTACAGCTTGATAATAAATTCGTTGAAAAGAGATCCCTTTGCTGGACTTCGTGTTTTAATTTTAATGTTTAAATGGGAATTATATGCCAATCTTTAGTTGTCGGGTTTCTTAAAAATTTAATTTAATATCATTTCATGGCCTATAGCCTATCCTTTCTCCATATTTTTCTGATTATAATCTGTTAATTATTCAGTAGATCATCTCCGTTAAAAGTTCTGTAGTGTTTGAACAGTTTTAAACTACTAAATAATTTTTAAAGGTGGTTGTCATTAACTGTGTTATTTATTTGAACGCAAGTCATTTCTTTTGACTGGATTATGAAGACTTCGACATCTGAGGGGAAGCACGGAATACAGTGGACATCTCAGAACCGATTAGACGATTTGAACTTCGCAGATGAACTAGCCCTCCTATCTCATACACACGAACAAATGCAGACGAAGACAGCAAACGTAGCAGCAGCCTTTGCATCAATAGACCTTAACATACACAAAGGAAAAAGCCAGATTCTGAAATACAACACGGAGAACACCAACCCAATCACACTTGATGGCGAAACTCTGAAAGAGTTGGAAACACTCACTTATCTGGGAAACATCATTGATAAACAAGGATGATCGAATGCAGACGTAAAGGCGAAGATTGGCAAAGCAAGGGCAGCATTTATACAATTGAAGAACATATGGAACTCAAAGTGAGAATCTTCAATACGAACGTGAAGACAGTTTGTTCTTCTGTATGGAGCTGAAACTTGGAGGACTGCTACATCCATCGTCAAGAAGGTACAAGTATTCGTAAACAGTTGTTTACGCAAAATATTCAACATTCACTGGCCGGATACTACCAGCAACAGCGTTTTATGGGAGAGGACAAATCAACTTCCAGCTGAAGAGGAAATTAGGAAGAGACGTTGTAAGTGGATTGGACATACATTAAGGAAATTACCAAAATGCATCACGAGGCAATCGCTATCTTGGAATCCAGAAGGGAGGCAGAAAAGAGGAAGGCCAAAGAACACGTTATGCCGGGAAATAGAAGCAGATATGAAAAGGATGAATAGCAACTGGAAAGGATTGCTCAGGACAGAGTTGGATGGAGAATGCTGGTGTGCGGCCTATGCTCCTCCACGAGGGGTAACGGGAGTAAGAAAGTCATTCCTTGATATATTTAGTGCGCTAAACATCTGGATCAAAAGTAATTATTATTTTCAACTATCAGCTGATCTATTGCGTTTAAATGTTATATATTCATAAAGAGAATTATATTTTTATCTAAAGAGCTGACAGTTTTTTTCTTCATATAATCTAAACTACTATTATAAGTGATGTTGTTTTATGTGTTTATTGTATATAATTTTCTTAGGCTGATGAATATTGGAGAAGACTACGCAATTTACAATGGAAACATATACAACTTCGAGAAAAAGAAATACTTGGTATGGGTTTATACAGAATTCGTCGTTTTCAAGATGGATTTCATGAACTTACATTATCTCAACAAAGTTGGTTTTCATGGCTTCATGAACATGGTGTTACATCAGAAGAGTATAGACATATTTTCGGAATTCCTGGTCGATTGCCTCAAAATGAACAACAATAGAAATGGATCAGGAATTTGATGAATTAATCATTTGGACTTCAATCAATAGGTTGTAGGTTCGAACAATTCCCTACCCATTTCAGTTTCAGGATTCGATTATTACACAAATAATGCGACTCAGATCCAACTAAGTAAACTTGTAGTTGGTCAATAAACTGGAAATAAATATAACGTGTAACTTGGTTGGTGAGTTGAGTTTGTTACCTGAAAATAACGGAGCAAACATTTGTATTTTATAGTGATTGTGGCATATAGCTTTCAATATTTGCAAAGCGTGAAATGTTAATGTAATAGTGCTATTTTTGATATATAAGATGTCCTTTCAACTTGTAACTTACTGATGAGCACTTTTAGATTAATTGGTTTTGTACTACTGGTGCACAGGATCAAATGAGATGTAGTCAATTAGTCAAGCCTTCCATACCATCCGAACTTTACCTTTGACCGAATTCTATCATCAGTGTAGGGTTGTGGAGATTGCTGAGTTTTCATTGAGATCATGAACCGATCATTAACAGACTACCATTGAAAACATGGGGGCACTGGAAGGCCCTTATGTCCTAGCATTGAACTCCCCAGCAATGCCTAACTTCAATCAATCCACGATGTTACGCGACTGTATTCCATTATCTTTAGTAGGTAACTGCGTCACACCCGACAGGGTTAAACTCCACAAGAAGTTTGAGAATTAGCTCTCGAAGCTAGTCGCTAGTGAGCACATGATAATTATCAGTATAAGGTTGTGGAGTTTGTTGAGTTTTAGTCAAGATCAAGAACTGGATTCTACAAGCCATATTAGTAATAAGGTCATTATTCCACGTAATTCGAGATAGTGTTTGTTAATGTATCTTCAATTCCTAAAAGTGAGCAGATATGCATGTAAACTTTCAGTAGTTTTACGTCGTTTTTCATCTAGTCACCTTAATATCCGACATTCTGTATTGTAAAGTCGAGTTGTATTTGGAAACTCAGCGTGATTTAATTTACAGTGGAAGAGAACTTAATGATTACAACATGACATTGACACAGATTTCCCCTAGTAATATAAAAGCGGTTGACGATTTGCTTCGTATTATTGCACACCTGGAAATAATTACTTAACTATATATCGAAAGCTTTTATTTTCTGGTAAATGTCTTTTTCAGAAATAACAAATGATATCGTTTCCTTATAATATAGATGTTACTGATACTTACTTAGGCCTCGTTGAGGGGCATAAGTCACCCACGAGGATTCTCCACCAAATCTGTCCTGTTCAATTCTTTCCGATCGTTCCCAGTTCCTGTTAACTCTTTTGATGTCTGCTTCTAATTCTTGGTGCAATGTGTTCTTTGGCCTTCCTCTTTTCCATTTCCTTTCAAGATTCCAAGTTGGCGTTTGCCTTGTGATGCAGTTTGGTGGTTTCCATAATGTGCGTCCTATTCACCTGCATCGTCTTTTTTCAATTTTCTCTTGAGCTGGGAGCTGATCTGTTCTCTCTTATTTTAAACTGTTACTGATGGTGTCCGGTTAACGGACATTGAGTATCTTGTACAGACAATTGTTTATAAATTCTCGTACATTTTTGATGATGACTACGGTATTTCTCCAAGTTTCAGCTCCATGAAGTAGAACTGTCTTGACGTTTGTGTTGAAAATTCTCACTTAGCTATTGGTTGACAGTTGTTTTGAGTTCCATGTGTTTTTCGACTGTAGGAATGCTGTCCTTAGTTTGCTAATCTTTACCTTTACGTTTGCATCGGATCCTCCTTGTTCATCGATGGCGCTGCTACCTAGGTACTTGAAAGTCTCCACGTCTCCTAGAGTTTGTCCATCAAGTGTGATTTAGTTTGTGTTCTTTGTGTTGTATTTGAAGATGTTGCTTTTTCCGTTGTGCCTATTGAGGCCAACTGAAGCAGAGGCTTGTGCTACACTGGCTGTCTTCACCTGCATTTATGGCTGTGTATGGGATAACAAAGGTAGGTCATCTGCGTAGTCCAAATCGTCTAGTTACATTCAAACTGTCCATTGTATTTTATGTTCCACTTGAGATGTGATCTCCATAATACAGTCAACCACCAGGAGAATGAGAAAGGGCGTAAATAAGTAGTCTTTTCTGACTCCGGTCCTTACTTGCAATGCGTCCGTCAGGTGTCCTCCGTGGACGAATTCGCATTGTAGTCTGTCGTGTTAATTTTGGATGATGTTGACATTTCTTCTCAGATACTCCATAGTGTCGAAGAAGTTTCCACAAGGTTCTCCTACCTATGTTGTCAAACGCTTTCTCATAATGAAGAAAGTTGATGTATGGTGGCGAATTCCATTCAGTTGTTTGTTCAACAATAACTCGTATTGTCACGAATTGGTCTGTGCACGACCGATGCTTGTGAAAGCTAGCTTGTTGATTTTGAAGTTGAGCATCTACTGAATCCTTCACCCGGTTCCGCAATACTGCTGGGAAATTTTCATGTTACCGATAGTAGTGTTATGTCTCTGTAGTCCCTACACCTATTGGTATCTCATTTCTTTGTATCTTTAGGAGATATCTATCTTTTCAGTCTGTCCGTAATTGTTTCTCCTTCCAAATCTTTCCGAATGGAACGCGGAGTATGTTTGCAATTGCTTCTATGTCTGACTTCATTGGCCCAGTTGATATGTCGTAAGGCCCTGCTGCTTTCCTATTGTTCGTTTGTCTGAAGGCCGACCTCATTTTTATTGTTTGTAGAATATAACCCATATGAAGGTCTTTGTGTACCGCTTCGATGTCCGGTGGATTTGAAGGAGCTGGCCTATTCTTGACTTCACCAAAGTGTTCTACCCACCTGTTCTCCTATTCCTGAATCTCAGCGATTGGCTTGCCCTCCTCGTCTTTGATTAGTCGCTCTGATTTACGATATTTCCCTGATACTCTTTTCGTCGTATCATATAATTGTCTCGTATTCCCTTCTCTCGCAGCTTTTTTTCTCTGTCGTTGCTAGCTCTTCCATGTATTTCCGCCTGTCAGTTCTAATGCTCCTCTTCATTTGCTTGTTTGCTTCTGTGTATTCAGCTTGTGCCTTGACTTTCTCTGTTATTGTTCGGCCGTTGTTAATTGCTGTCTTTTTGTTCTTCCTTTCTTGAATCTTGTGCAGGGTTTCCGCGGAGATCCTTATGATGATGGTAGTTGCGACCCAGACTCTCCTGACATGCTGAAGTTAGTGCTTCTTTGATCCCTTTCCAGTTGTCCTCCATCGTAGTTTCTTGTTCTTTCAGTAGATCCTGTAGAGCTTGGAACTTGTTGTTGAGAGTTATCTTGAATTGGTTTAGTTTGTTAGTATCTCGAAGGAAGGCTGTATTGAACCTTTGTAATGCTATGGGTCCAGTCGTCCATTGTTTTTTTAGCTTCAGTTTCATCTTGGTCACAACCAGGTGGTGATCTAAATCTATGTTAGCTTCTGGTTTTTACATCTTCCATTGACCTTCTGAACTTTTCATTGATACAAATATGATCCATCTGGTTTTTCGTGGTGTGGTCTGTGAGATCCATGTAACTTTGTGTGGGGATATTTTATCCCCTATAACCATTTTGTTGAATGCACATAAAAATTTGCAAATCTGTTACCATTCACGTTCCTTTCTCCCAGTCAGTCCATGTCGCCCCATGATAACTTCATGTCATATTTTGTCAATTCCGACTGGTGTTTAATCCCTCAACAGGATTGTCAGGTCCTATTCTGAACACTTCCCTATGATCCATTTCAGCCTCACATAAAACTGATCTTCATTGCTGTCAATAGTGGGTGTATAGCACTGGATAACAAATCATTGTGATCCCCTCCTTCATTGTTTTGAAAGATGCTTTGATGATTCTAGATCCATGGTATTCCCATTCTACAAGTGCATTACGTGCTTCTGTGGATAGCAGCAGAGGAACTACCTGAGTGTGCGGAGCATTTTCTTCTTCGTTACCAGAGTACGGCAGCATCTCTCCCGTATCTAACATTTACTGTCTACATTGCGTCCAACCAGTCTCACTTATTCCGAGCACCACCAAGGTGCATCTCATTTCCGTTGCTGTTTGACTGGCCCTCCCGGTCTCCCACATTATTCGAACGCTCCAAGTACCGATAAAAATGGTTCCTCGGGTTGTTAAAGGGGGGATCAGCTTCGTGACTTCCGGAGACTATCGGCTTTCACCATGTGGCGTCACAATCCTTCCTTCAACTGGGAGGAAAGAGTTCGAATTGGTTATTATGGTTCGTATTTTGACTTATGAAGGTTGTTTTCTATGGGATGGAGTTACTGACCTCATGCCAAACAATCCGCATTTACCCGGGCTTGGAATAGGCAGTAACGCTAGATAAACTAAAGGCTGAGTTAGTTGTTACTGATAAATAGATGTTATACTAGATTTCATGTAAAATATCTCGGTTCGGTTATTCTAGCTATTGAACTTAAACAGTAGAATAGCTCTGCAGCTAGGGCGGATGGTTCCAATGAGCTTTTCTTTGTCGAGCTGAGTGGTTTAATGGTGAAAGTTTCAATACGATAAGGTTTTCTCAGTGATTGACTTACTAATAAATTTGGCAGTAAAAGTGTGTGACTGAAGCTAAGTAGTAAAAGATGGCCTTCTAAATAACATTGGGATGTTGTTGCCCAGGTAAAGAATAATTAACGGCTCAATACTTTTTGGTCTTTATTATTAAGGACCACGCCTTGATTACGAATTATCCATAAAACACTATGCATTCTGCAGTTTCATATGAATTTCTGGACTTTGTATCTCAGATATTCGCATTGCTGGTTTCACACGTACTCGTGAATTCATAAATGGAGATGCATGTATAAGCGCGGAGTTTTTAAGAAGTCGGGCTTCCAATGAGTAGGTTAATGGTCCGAACTTGCTATTAGAGATGAAACTTTTCTCATCTAAATTTCCAGAAGTTGAACTTTTACCGGAAGATTCACTTGTTTACTTAGAATATGCCGATGACTAAAATGCGGAATCTTCTGACCACCGTAAGCAACAGTGCAAGCATGTTCAGGATGTGATTCTCTCTCTCGAAATGCAAGATGTTACTTCAGGATTTGGCTTCATCAACACCCGAACTAATGATAGGGAGTGAAGTAGTTGAACTTGTCAACCGCTTCACTTATCTTGGGAGTCTCATCAGCCCTTGTGGTTTGGTGTGTGACGAAATCGGGTACAGAAGACTTATAGCTTTTGCCAACTTCCGTTATTTGTGACGTAGGCGAGATATCCATTTACCAACCAAAGGACGGGTTTGTTCCGTCCTAGTTTATGGCAGTGAAACATTGCCGATAAGAGTAGAGGATATCCGTAGGTTACTAGTATTCGATCATAGGTGTCTTCG